GGAGATTGAAGTCATGCAAGTTGATCCCAAACAACCTTGCCGACCTCTACACGACGTCATTGCCAAAGTTAACCTTCCAGAAGCTTGTCCAAGGAATTGGTATACCTAACTATTCATATGCAATGCTTGTAGTTTTCATTTGGAAGTTATGTCAAACTCAGGGGGAGTATCCAAAAGTATACTCACTTGATCTTAATGTAATTTTTTTCCCTACGATTATAAGCATTTTTCCCACTGGGTTTTTGCTACCTAACTAGGTTTTAACAAGACACCCATTTTGGGCTAATCATACCCTTGAGCTATTCTACTTACGTCCAAAAGACGTATAGTTTTGACTTAATGCAACTTCTCACTTTTCTCCTTAGTCTATGGGTTTTTCTCCCACCTTGGGTTTTACCATAACGAGGTTTTGTGAGTTTTACTTTTTTATGCATTCTTCCGTTGATTTGAGACTCGCATTTGCTCATTGTGTCGACAACTTCATCAACTTTACTTACTTCATTGCTGAAGATATGATGCACCATTTACTTGAGTATTTACACACTCAAAAGGAGGTGTTGCAGTCATATTAGATTAGGAATGTGATTGTGTAAATCATAGTATATCTTGGAATATCTCTTATATTCCTATTATGAGTTGATTACCTATTAAGAGTTGTAATCCTAAAAGGATAAAGAATTAACCTTTCGTACTACTATAAATAAAGGCACAATGGGGTGGAATAAAACACACCCACAATTACACATCTCTTTCTTCTTCTCTCTATGCCGCACATTCTCTTTTTATATGGCCTCCATAATTGTTCAGTAAATTATGCCTACAACATAAAGGAGATTTTTTTTTTAAACAAACGATATTATTTATATTAAGAGGGTGTGATGGTGGATTAAGCCTCACAAAGAAACAGTGTTTACAATATCGGTATCGTTGGAAATATCGATATACAAATTTTACGGTAATATAGATGAATATATCAAATATCAATATCAGTTGCATTCGATGGAAATCATAGAAATTTGCTAAAAACATTAAATTTTGAAATTATTGTTTAGGGAATGTTGTATGAAGCCACAACACACGTATGAATCAATAATTAATGACAAGATATTGTGTAAAAACAAGTATGTGATATGTGATAAGTGAGAATGAAAAACAAGTAATAAAATAAAAAACTTCACGAGAACGAATAAATTACACATAAATTAATTGAAACTTTCATCATGAAAGCAACACAAGTTTTATTGAATTAAACTAATACCATATAGAATGCATAAGTTCATGAAGTTAAAACTATAGTTAATCTTCATCTTTCATTTTGATTAGACCTTCCTATGTAGTACATTTCAATTGCACCAATCTCCAAATATATGATAGACTGAAAACTGAATTCACATAATAGAAAAAGAAACGAAGAAAGATACTTGAAAAGAGACAAAGAAGAAAACTCGACCACTAGTTGGTAACTTTTTGTCTAAGTTTCTACAAGGATAATAAAATATCGAAGAAATTGACTGATTTTCGGAAATATAGAGAATATGGGGTGAAATGTACACTTCATCCCCCTCTCCTTGCATATCGTTCCATGATTTTTTGGATCTTTTTGTGGAAATATCGAGCATATTCAAGTTATTTTAAACATTTCCTATAAACGAAATTATTAACCATTAACTAATCAATTTTTATTGAATGTCGTGCTTTTAATATCAGATTACCGTTTGGGTACAAACAAAATGAACTTTAACGAAAAGCTCTCAGTACTGTTTATTTTAACGAAAAACCACATTTTTACACTAAAAGGTCAATCATGGTACTATTCACTTTACCCTTTATTTTGTACTTTTCGTTAAAACTCAAAACTTTTAAGTCTTTTTCATTAGTTTTTCTCAAAAAAAAAAAAAAAAAAAAAAAAAGGATGTCCCTAGGTTACTATCCGCCAGAGAAAAATTTAGAGTAAGGGTTAGTTAGGAATTGTTGTGTTTTTTTCCAAAACTGCTTTTACTGTGTAGTGAGAATAAACAGTTGTGAAAAAAAAATCAAGTAAGTGTTTGGTAAACTATAGTGGTGAAAGTGCTTTCAGTACAAAAAAAAAAGAAAAAAAAACAATGTCAAAGTGTTTTGTAAACTTTTATATAAAACTATTGTGACTGTGTAAAATGACAAAAAAAAAAAGACATGTTGCTAGATATATTATTAAGTTAATTAGGTTAATTGTTGATCAATTTGTTACAAATACTAGTTTTCTCTTATAACCTCTGTCTTCTTTACCTAGCTCTAGAAAAACCCATAGCAATCACATGGTCTCATAGCAATTAACAAACCTCTGGGTTAAAATTAAAAGAAAACTAATGAAAATGACTTTAAAACTTTGAGTTTTAACAAAAAAGACAAAACAAAGGGTAAAGTGAATAGTACTAGGATTGACTTTTTAGTATAAAACTGTGATTTTTCGTTAAAGTGAATAGTACCGAGAGCTTTTCGTTAAAGTTCCCTAAAATTAAACCCCTAAACCCAAATAATAATAATAAGAATAATCTCTCTCGAAATTACTTTTTCTCTCCGTGGTGAGAGCCTTTCTCTCAAGCTAAGAGTTTCTTCTCACTTCTTGTGTGAGGTGTTCAAACCACATAAATTTTGGTGGCATCGGCCCTAGCTTCAGCTGGGGTCAATTGCCGTTTCCTTTTTGCGCTCTTTCTGTTTTGTTTTCCTTGCTTCCATTGTTTTTTCTCCCAAATTTCTACTCCGATCTATTATATTTCTCTATCCCCGTGCGCATTAATCTTCCAGGCTCTTCCATGCTCCAATCTTTAGCCATGCATCATACTGCGATCGTGCGTAGAGTTCCAGTGTATCCACTGGCTCGAGTGTTGCCAACACCACCACCTTCTCGTTGTCGTCTGCCAGGTCCGGCATTGATAGTTGGCTTCTTTTGTTTGTTGAGGCAGTGATTGACGATGATGAAGGAATCGAATGGACTGAATAGTTCTGGAATGGGGGAGAAGGCTGTGGAAATCTGGGGAAGCTTCTGGCTTCGGAGGCTTGCTGTAAAGTTTAGGCCTAAATGTTTTTTTGGGCTCAGTTTGTGTTCTCTAGTGTGTTTGGGCCTAATTTTGCTTGTTGATATGTTGTCTTTGGACCTTCATTGTGTTATTTGCTAGCTGTTGGTGGTTTAATAAATTATCCTTTTACCAAAATAAAAAATAAAAAATAAAAAACCTCACAAGTTTACATAGTGTTAAAGAAGAAAAAAAAATTATGATTACATTCCTAATTACAAGTAAACCCTAAAGCATTGGGGGTCCCAGTAGTGTGATTTTTCACCCAATTTCCCAAGTCCAAGCAAACAAAAGGAGAAAGGATGCTCGTCGGATTTTCTTTGTGAAGATCCCAAGTATTCTTCAATCACATCCATTCATCATACATTATATGATCAATTTTTGTCAGGTACTGTTTATATTCAATTTTAAATAAAAAAAATTATTATAATTTTTTACTGCACGATGTACGATGAATGAATATGATTAGAGGATCCTCCTAGAACAAAAAGAAATAGAGTGAGCAAAATTTTCAAGAGAAATGCTAATGAGACTCTTAACAGTGGAACTGTTTATGAACTATATGTCTCTTCATGTTTTTTGTATTATGTTTTATAATATTTGTAAAAAAATTAGCATTAAACTGGAAAGTAAATAATCCATAAAAACATGAGCATTCCTCAATTTTCCAATAAATACAAAGAAGATGATGTGCCAAAAGCTCAAAGTGTGCCAAAGGACATGACCCTATCACTGCCACTAAAAACTTTATTCCTTGGATTGTGTTAGACGTGACAAAGTGAGGACTGACTGACTGAACTCCTTTCTGTACAATTTTGGTATTTTCTGTTTTGGTCATATATACCTTCTTAGAATTTCACCTTTTCTGCTTCCCTGCAATATGAATAATATTCTCTTACATAAATCCTAAAGTTAGATTAACTAATATTCATTGGATCCATATTTTCTTACATAAATCCTAAAAGAATGACTTAGAAAAGACGATTCTAAAATGAAAAGAATAACCAAGAAGGTAAAACAAGAAGATTCTAAGTAAAAATTACTTACATTCCATCAAGATTCAAGGAAAAAAAAATCAATCGCCTGAAAACTATACATAAAACTAAATTTTGAAATTTACATCAATAATATAATTTGGTGCTACTTCAACATTCTCTGCTACTAATTTTCTCTACAAAAGGAAAAAGAAAATCTGACAAACTATACCAACAAATTGGCGCCGGAGGGAAGAAATAATTTCGATTACGCGGCGGAGCATCGAGTATATCCATTGGCCGAAAAACTGATCGTCAGACTCGACAGGAGATGTCATTGGAGCCATAGCAAAATTTTCAAGAAAAATGTTAATAAAACTCTTTTAAAAGTGAAACTGTTTATGGACTATGCGTCTCTTCATCTTTTTGCATTATATTTTATATTATTTGTACGAAAATTAATATTAAACTGAAAAAGTAAAAAGTCTAAGAAAACTTAGCATTTCTCAATCTTCCAATAAATACAAAGAAGATGATGTGCCAAAAGCTCAAACTGTACCAAATGACATGACCCTACCACTGCCACTAAATAACTTTGTGTTAGACTAACAAAGTGAGGACAGACTGACTGACTTCCTTTTTCTGTACAATTTTGGTATTTCATTTAGGGGAATTTCACCTTTTCTGCTTCATGCAATATTGCAAGATGATTCAAATCATCTATTTTTTAAGTTATTTTTTAAAAATCATATCTGCAAAATTAACTAGATTATAAAATCATTTAGTCATCTAACAATTAACTAATATTCACTGGAACCATATTACATAAATCGTAAAAGTTCGACAACTTTATCAAACGGTTTAACAATTTCCAATTTAGTTGATTTTTTATTGTAGAGTTCATCTCTAAATAATGATCTAAAAATTAGACGATTCTAAAATGAAAAGAATAACCAAGAAGGTAAAACAAGAAGATTCTAAGTAAAAATTACTTACATTCCATCAAGATTCAAGGAAAAAAAAAAAATCAATCGCCTGAAAACTACACAAAAAACTAAATTTTGAAATTTACATCAATAATATAATTTGGTGCTACTTCAACATTCTCTGCTACTGATTTCCTCTACAAAAGGAAAAAGAAAATCCGACAAACTATACCAACAAATTTGCGCCGGAGGGAAGAAATAATTTCGATTACGCGGCGGAGCATCGAGTATATCCATTGGCCGAAAAACTGATCGTCAGACTCGACAGGAGATGTCGTTGGAGCCATAGCTAATTGCTTGAAGACTTGAGCCAGACATATTTGTCATCCATCGTTGAGGGCCCTTGGATTCCCCTAATATGTTGTATGCATAAGAAGGCCACCTTACATCCACACCACATGAGCTTGTCACGCCCGTTCTTAAGAGCTTCTGCGTTCGATCCAGAACTATAAGATTCGAAAATGTCGAGAAACTGTTTCCCACAAACACATCAGCCCTTAAACACACTTCGTAGTCGATTGCAGACTGAATGAGATAAGAGAACTTCTTGTAATTTCCTTCGACGCCCAATTTCTTCTTCTCGAAAGGAATCAGGCCTTCTTTCCAGCCGTTTAGAATGGACGGATCATGAAGAAGGCTATCAGCTATAGCTAAATAAACAACGACAGGCGTTTTGAGGCCAACAATGTTGCCTACTCTTTCCATGATCTCCTCCTTGCTACTACAAATTTGGGTTATGTTTGATCTTTGCTCTAGCTTCTTACAATGAATCATCCAATCTATCTCTATCCTCATGTGTACAGCCACATAAGGCACCGGCTGCACGACAGAATTCTCTGCCGGGCTAATGCCAATTTGCGCAAACTCTTTCCGACTACTTACTTGTGCTGCTCCGATCTCTCTAATCCGTGACACGACTTTATCCGCTTCATTCATTATCTCATCAACCAAAACCATGCACTCAAAGATTTTCGCATAGTCCTTCACAGGCCAATGATCGTGCCACAGAAACGGATTCTTTCCTACTATTTGAATCACCTCGTACTCATTGTATGGATCCTCATTATGCTGTTTCAATTGATCCATGTCCCTCTCGGGAGTCCACCTCCTTCCGCTTCCTTTCTGAAGCTCAAATGCTCCTGTTCGGTTTCTAACATCTGAAAGTTCACCCAATTGAACGAATCCATTACAGAGAGAATTAAACTTCTTGAACTGGAACACCTTATCGAAGGAAATCGGCTCCAAGAGCTCTACTTCCTTGTAAAACAGGGAAGCACTCAAGCTAGGCATCAAAAGCGTCCGGTTCAAAAGCCTTGCGGTCAGACAAGCTCTTGCAAACGCTATTTTCTGATTGTTTAGTCCCCAAACGATTTGAGGAACCTCCAGAAACTTATCTTTTCGGATTCCAGATTTCTGACCGAATGACAACGACAGATTACCGATGAATACCAAGTTGTCCTGTTCAGTTCCATCAAAGATGGAGAACGTAGGAAGCAGAACAGCTCTGATTACCAGAGCAGTCACAGCTAAAACAACACATTTGCATGCGAACGAATTCAAATGGCAACCGAGAACTTTGAAATTCTTACAGTAAGGAGGCACGTCCATTTAAGATTAGCATAAACCCTATTCAATCCAGAAATCCCAGAATTTCAAATCATCCCAAGAACATAAAAATTCATCTGGCACCAAAAAATCAGCATGAACCCTTTTCAATTCAGAGACAATTTGCACAAACCAGAAGAACAATCATTCCAGCGTATGAAATTCGAGACTTTTTATGCAGAGTTGCTGCAACAGTTGAATTCAAATACGTGCAGGACACATGAAAATCTACATAAACCAAACAAATATATACAAATTATATGACCAGAATCAAATTCTATAAGGATTGTATGTGAATTGTGAGAAGAAAACTTACCAATTATTGACAAAATTAATCCGGAATTTGTTGAAAGAAGCAATCCTCCAATCGAACCCAAATTCCAAATTCAAAAGTAGAAGGCTCCGAGAAAGGCAAGGATGTGATATGGTTGTCCCACTGCAATAAAAATTCAATCACAAAACTGTTAAAGGTGTGTCCTTTATACCCCATAATTCACAGAATAAAACAACATATAATCCAAAATTCCAAAGCCTGCAGATGTTGCTATAATAAAACAAACAAAAAAGACGGACACGGACATACAGAGAGAGAGAGAGAGAGAAAAACTGCATAAAACTCACATATTTGGAGTTTGAAAGCCTAAAACTCAAAACCCAACAACAAAGAATTCCAAAAACACAATTGGGTTATGATTTCATATGAATCCAATCTCAATTTTCTGATGACAACCCAGAAAGCAGAAGACACCACATAAGAAGAAGATGAACATGTGTCGAGGAAATACAGAAAAAAAAAAAAAAAAAAAAAAGCCTGAATTCCTGCAATCCGAAAAATGCATGCCAGCCCATCACTCTCATGACAACATCATATTTTTAATTAAATAAAACAATGAGTTAGTAAAGGTGGAAAAACAACAACAACAAAAATAAAAAATAAAAAGTAAAATTGAAAGAGGAGAGATGCTTCAAGAAGGGAAATAAAATAATGGAGATGAAAGTAGGGCAAGAATCTAGTGTGTGACAGAACGATGTTGTTGGGAAATGGCAAAGAAAAAGGGACAGGATTGTCTGCCCTTTTAGTTGTGGTGCCCTTCCATACTCTTCTACTTTGTGCGGTCACGGTTAAGTCACGTCAATATTTTATATTTTTATTGTTTTGTATTTTATTATCTCATTAAAAAATTAATATAAAATATTAACATGACTTAACTGTGACCACACAAAATAAAAAGGCATGGCGGGCAAACAATCCTTGTCCAAGAAAAAGACCGAATGGGAAGGGACAAGGACCTCTCAGAGATGAGCAATGTAGACAAACTGTCTAATCAGGCAAGACCAAAAAGGACGGACATATGAAAATCTTATTCCTCTGAGCCTCTGCAACATATCTTGGTAAATAGAAAACGAGTAATGCATAGATTATATTTTTAAGAGAGTTAGATTGTATACCCTCCTGTTATGATGTTTTTCTTTTTTTTTTTAATTTATGTTATGACACATCAATATTTTATATTTTTATTATTTTTTATTTTATTATCTATATAAAAAAATCAATATAAAATGTTGACATGACTTAACCGTAACCGTACAAATAGAAGGGGATGGAAAGGGCATCATAGCATGAGGGCACACAATCTGCCTCCATTTTTAAGATTACATTTTGTATGTCAAATGATAAGCTAGAAATAAAAAATAAGGAAAACTAATGAAAAAAAATTTGAAAACTTTGAGTTTTAATGATAAAGACAAAATAAAAGATAAAGTGAGTAGTAACAGGATTAACTTTTTAGTGTAAAAATGTGATTTTTCGTTAAAATGAACAGTACTAGAAGTTTTCGTTAAAATTTCTTAAAAAATAATCACGTTAATTAATAATTCTATTATTTAGTTTACAAAATTTAGTTTTTTAACATATTATCCACAAGAAAATTCTCATAAATGGTGTAGTGGTTAAAAACATTGTTTTTTTTCCCATACATTGTTTTGTTTTGTGACATATATTGCACATCCAAACCGCGATTATAGTTCTATATACTAAGAAGAAAAGTGATTATGTAACATTCAGCAATTACGAATAATTATATTTCAAGTTTGAGTTTTTTAACGTACATAGTATAAAGATTATTTGATGTCCATATGATTTGTATGTAATTACACGTATTGAAAACTTATTTTACGATTTTTCTTCTACAAATATGAATGGTGAGATTGTCCTCCAATCTAATAAAATTTGGGAGAACTAACAAAAAGTCCCTCACCAAATGTTTTTTTCTATTGAAAAACACTTACACAGCTTTTCTTGTTATTAAGGATACTTTATGTATTGTAAGGAAAAAAAAAACTAAACGAAAGTCACACTTCACGAGGATTTTAAATTAACAAAAAAATGTCCTTTATAATTAAAAAAGTGCCCTTAACAATAAAAAAAGAGGCCCTTAATGATAAAGAAAGTTGTTTAAGTGTACTTTGTATTAATTTTCTAAGAAAATTCGGGAAGTATAAAACAAATTAGAAAAACCATTGGGGAAAACAAGAAAAGAATTATAAACTCCACCATTTTATACATGTAATTAGTGTTTACTAAGGTAAGAAGCCAAGGAAAGCATGGGCAGCCAGGGGAGGGAGACCTTTTGTGAGTTGGGACCTGGGAAAGGTATGTCTGTTGTAATGTTTACGATGGGACTTTTGAGTTATACCATGTGGATGCATTTGTCTTTCAACGTTTTCGTATTGTTGAATGTTGACCCACACAATTAAACAAGTTCAAAGAAATTGGTGGAGGGTTTTTCAAGGGATAAGGATTGTCTGTCCTTTCATTTCTGGTGTCCTCCTGTGTCATTCTGATTGTATGATCACGGTTAAGTCACATCAACATTTTATATTACTATTTATTTTTGTTTTATTATCTTTATAAAAAAATAATATAAAATGTTGACGTAACTTAACCGTGACCACACAAAACAGGAAAGCATGGAGATCACCATAAGTGGGAGGGCAAGACAATCCTTGTTCTTTTCCAAATCTCTAGCAAAGGTCGTTGGTGATCAGTCATCTTGAAACATGTGACATCGATTGTATCTCTAACAAAAATGAATTTAGATATCAGAACTCTACTCAAACTAATATTGTGGTCTTTTCATGAGAAAATCTTACACTTGACAGATTGTGCAGACGGTAGAACAAGTTAGGAACAATATTGATGTTATTAGAAATGAGTATTTGGCCAATTTCTTTGATAATTTGACATGGTATCAGAGTCAGAGAGCATACATGTACTGCCACGTAATTGATGAATCTCCATGGCCCTGCGCAATGATGGTGGGTCCTTTGGCCCATGTGTAAGGTGAGTCTCCTTGGCTCCACCAATACTAAGGCATTTTGTGATAAAACCTCAAACCTGATGGATTGTGCATGTAGTGATTAATAAATTTAGAACAATATTGATGTTGTTGGAAGTAGACTTTTAACCGTCTCTAATAATTTGACAAATCATACCCCTTATTTATTTTGTTTAGCTGTCATCTATTTGTGAAATTGCTAGTGGGGCTCAGGAGTAACATGGATGGAGATTGTGATTAACTAAAATAAACACAACCAATTAGCAAAGGTTAATCATGAGACTAAAAAAAGCCTAACCTGTCGGGAAAAGAATTGCGGCAAGAGCTTACAACTTAGCTGGTTAAAATTATGGGAAAAAACGTATATATTGACTTCTCTCATTAGAGATTTCAAGTTCGAATCTCCCTCTCTTAATATCGTTTGTATGTAAGGACGGATGCAACTAAGGCTCATTGAGGACAACTACCACCACTGAAGTTTAATTTGTATAGAGGAAACAAACCACAATGAACCGAACTTGTACTTATGGCATTCAAGTACTTTAATTGATTAGTTAAATTTTTTAAATAATATGTATAATAAGTTATCATTGTGAAAAGATATCTACAAGTTGGCTCAATAAAATTTGAGAAGAAACAGAAAAACAATAAAAAATAGAAAAAATTGTACTATAATGAATTTCTTTACATCAAATGCAATTAGCCACCAACTAAAAAAAAACTAGCTCCGTCCCTGTTTGTATGAACAAACGTGCTAAGTAATTTTATTAATAAAGTTCATTTGAATCAACTCTGCCATATTATCCTTTCTAATCGATATATATGTTAGGAATGAAAATGAAAGTCAATATATATATTATGTGCATGAAAATTCACGTTTGTATAAACACCATTAAATAATTTTCACGAGGCATATTAAAAAATAATAAAATAAAAATATTCTAGCAAGGCATATGGGATGGTCGATCAAGTCATATTTCAAAATTATAGAAAACATAAGCGATTAGTTCAAGTGACTACCTATACTACTATGGCCATTCATTTTTAACCTAATGGACATGTTTCGGGTTCAAATTATCTCTTTCTTTTTAATATAAAATCATCTCTCATCCTTTATATTTAATTTAGAGTTGTAACATCGACACTAATAGAAAACTAAAATACTATAACACATCACAAGACTAACATGTATTTAATTTATGCTTTATGTTTTAGGTAGCTAACTTAACTACTGCTGCCTTCAAAACCTCCTATTCTATTAACCAATAATAAATGACCAACAACATGTATTTAATTTATGCTTTATGTTTTCCCTTCATGCATTCACCTGCCGCCCACCCCACGCCCTTTCTATAATTTGGCTCACATGCATGCATACAAATGCAACCTGATGCATGCTGATGCAGTAGTGCTTATTATTCCACTACTAAAATACGTGGATAATATTTTTGTATTTTTTAAACAAACAAAATTATTTATGTTAAGGAGGTGGGGGGAGGAGACCGAATCATAAGCTCTAAGGGGAAGAAGGGTGAGATTAATAAATGTTCCATCTAGGAATATGTGTTGTGAAGATGTTTTCAAACTAGTGGCAAAATGTTTTATCATGGGCACATTCCTGATGGTCTTGGCAGCACATTGATTACCTTAGTGCCTAAAGTGTAGAACCCCTTCTCTATGGCCCAATTCAAACCAATTTCTCTGGGTAACTAACACCATCTACAAATGTATCACAAAAACATTAAAGGGTAGGAGAGTAGGCTAAGACTTACAGTCTCAAGTCTTATAATGGTTTTGCCATAACAATGTGGTTCAACTTCACTTTTGGCGAAAATCGAACCTAAGACCTCTCACTTACAAGTGAAGAAAAATACCACCAAACCATAATACTAAGTGACAATAGGTCAATGTATTTTACATGAGTTTTCAACTTTTCATGATTGAACTTTTTGTAATCCTGTGTCAGCAAGAGACACGAAGCAATAAAAGTTTCAACTGTAATGAAACAAGTGCCAAAAATATTTGCTTGGAGAAGTCTCACAAGAAGAGGTTCCTCTCTTTCAACTACAATCAGCCTAGCCCAAGTTCCAGGCAACGGATTAACCCTAGCCCATTCACAAAAGGGTGTTAGAAGATGATCTAGGTCATCAAGCCCATACTGCCCAAATTTTGATATAGATGATCTGTTCCAAATTTGGATTATGACCTTGGAATCCAACACGACGAAAGACATGACCAGAGCTCTTGAAATTGAACCGATCCTCTCCGGATCTTTGTCTGAAACCCAAGGACTTAGAGATTCACACCGTTGAAAAAACAGAGAGATCCAGACTCTTGATTTGTGTGAGGTGGCTTAGTAGGATGGACTAATAAAGACCGCATGATTTAAAATGAGTAGTCCGGATCTAAAAGTCCATCGGCTTTGGACGCATAGATCCAACGAACTTACCTGCGTAAGCATGATGAGCTGAGAAGATGTGTGTTTTAGCAATGTTTTTGTTGTAGTTATTGTTTCTATCCAATTGTACATGTTGTTATTTGTACCTAAATATATGGTGCACATAAGGTTTGCTTACCTGCCCACTCGGTGGAACGACTGGACCTTAATATTTGTACAGATGCCCTAACTGATCCCCACTTTGCAAGTCAAGCATATATATAGCACCTTAAACTCGAACAAGTTGTGCC